TCCATATTTAGCAAGTAAGCTCTCAAAGTGCCTGTTACAGAAGTGAGTACCTCCGTCACTGATAATGGCTCGGGGTACTCCAAACCTTGTGAAAATGTTCTTCCTCAAGAAATTTACCACTGATATAGCATCATTAGTAGGAAGGGCAATTGCCTCAACCCACTTGGATACATAGTCAACAGCCACCAGTATGTACAGGTTGGAATAAGACGAGGGAAATGGGCCCATGAAATCAATGCCCCACACGTCAAACAACTCTACCTCCAATATACTATTCAGAGGCATCTCATCCTTGCGAGATATATTGCCTGCTCGCTGGCACTTGTCACATTTTTCAACAAATTCTCTGGCGTCTTTGATCAGTGTTGGCCAGTAGTAACCGCTTTGCAGGACTTTCTGAGCAGTCATATTGCCTCCAAAATGACCTCCATATTCAGAAGAGTGGCAGTGCCACAAGATCTGGGTCGTCTCAAACTCAGGAACACATCCACGAATGATTCCGTCAGCACATTGAAAGTATAGATATGGATCATCCCAGAAGTACCTCTTTAAATCCCGCAGAAATTTCTTTTGTTGTTGCCCAGTAAGATTAGCAGGTAACTCCTTCACAACTTTGTAATTGGCAAAGTCTGCGAACCATGGAGGGACGTGAATAGACATCACTTTTTCATCAGGAAAATAGTCGTTGATTTCTTTGTCAGGACTATCTTGAAGCTCTTTCTCCTGGATTCTTGACAGATGATCTGCCACTTTGTTCTCCACCCCAATCTTGTCTCGGATCTCCAAATCAAACTCTTGAAAGAGTAACATCCACCTCAGCAATCGTGGTTTAGCATCCTACTTAGCTATCAGATACTTAATAGCAGAATGATCAGTAAAAACAATGATTTTGGATCCTAACAAGTAAGGTCTAAATCTATCTACTGCATAAACTACTGCTAACATCTCTTTCTCAGTTGTGGCATAATTAACTTGAGCTTCATTCAAGACTTTGCTAGCATAGTAAATGACATGTAATAATTTTTCCTTACGCTGACCGAGGACGGCACCAATTGCATAAGCACTGGCGTCACACATGAGCTCAAAAGGAAGGCTCCAGTCAGGGGCTGTAAGCACAGGAGCTGTAGTAAGCTTTTCTTTCAATATGGTGAAAGACTTCAGGCATGCATCATCAAATTTGAATTCTGAATCCTTCACCAAGAGCTGGCTCAATGGTTTAGCAACCTTGGAGAAGTCCTTGATGAACCTCCTGTAAAAACCTGCATGTCCTAGAAAACTCCTAACAGCATGAACATTAATGGGAGTGGGGAGTTGCTCAATCAAAATCAATTTAGCTTTATCAACCTCAATTCCATTCCTGGAGATTTTATGCCCCAAAACAATACCTTCATTAACCATAAAATGGCACTTTTCCCAATTCAGAACAAGGTTAGTCTCTTGGCACCTTTTCAAAACTTTAGACAAGTTAATTAAACAAGAATCAAAACAAGAACCAAAGACGGAGAAGTCATCCATAAATACCTCTAAAAATCGCTCTACCATGTCAGAAAAAATAGAGAGCATACACCTTTGGAAGGTGGCAGGTGCATTACAGAGGCCGAATGGCATTCGTCGGTAAGCGAAGACTCCAAATGGGCAAGTGAAGGCTGTCTTCTCCTGGTCTTCAGGAGCTACTGGAATTTGATTGTAGCCTGAATAACCATCTAAAAAGCAGTAATAAGCATGGCCTGCCAGTCTTTCCAGCATCTGATCAACAAAGGGTAGTGGAAAATGATCTTTCCTGGTGGCCGTGTTCAACCTTCTGTAATCAACACACATTCTCCAACCTGTGATAGTTCTAGTTGGGAATGACTTATTGTTTGCATTTTTGACAACGGTCACACCACCCTTCTTTGGAACAGTCTGAACCGGACTTACCCAAGCAGCATCAGAAATTGGGTAAATCATACCTGCATCAAGAAGCTTCACAACTTCTTTTCTGACTACCTCATTCATGATCGGGTTAAGCCTTCTTTGCGGTTGTCTCACAGGTTTGATGTTTTCGGCCATAAGAATTTTGTGTGTGCAAATAGAGGGACTAATACCCTTTAAATCAGAAATAGACCACCCTATGGCAGTCTTAGGAGCTTTTAGAACTTCAACAAGCTCCTCTTCTTGACCCGGAGATAGTGCCGTATTGACAATTACAGGATAAGTCTCTTCATTCCCCAAGAATACATATTTCAAAGTATCAGGCAGAGTTTTCAACTCAACCTTGGGTGGCTTATCTTCTATATCATCAGCTTTTTCTTTAAGCTCTTCCACAACAACTTCTTTGCCTTCAAAGGGAACATGATCACGGGCTCTCAACTCATAATCAATCTCTTGTGGACGCATCTTCTTATGTTGCTCTTGAAACACTTCAACTTGAAAACAATCATCATTCTCAGCTGGTCTTTTCATTGCCTCAAAAACATTGTAATTGAGTTCCTCATCATGCATCCTTAATTTAATCATTCCCTGCTCAACATCAATTACAGCACGGGCTGTAGCCAAAAAGGGCCTACCTAAAAGCAGAGCTTATCACTTCCTTCCCCTGTATCCAACACCACAAAATCAACAGGAAAGATAAACTTGTCAACTTTGACAAGAACATCTTCAATGATCCCGTTAGGTTTCCTCACAGATCTATCAGCAAGTTGAAGAGAAACTTCTGCGGGTTTCAATTCTTCAATTCCCAGTGACTTATAAATAGAAAGAGGCATCAAGTTGATACTAGCCCCAAGATCACAAATAGCTCTGCCAATGGCAATATCATCAATAGTAATGGGAATATTAAAACTACTTGGATCACGAAGCTTAGCTGGAATCTTCTGCTGAATGAATGCACTACTTTTTGCAGTAAGTTCAACGGTTTGGCATTCTTGCAGTTTATTCTTCTTCAACAGATCCTTCATGAATTTTACATATCCAGGCATATTTGCTAAGGCTTCTGCAAAAGGAATATTGATGTGCAACTTCTTGAAGATGTCTAAGAACCTGTCATAATGGTTGTTAGTAACCTCTTTCTTGAACTTTTCTGGGTAAGGTGCTTGAGCCATTATATATTCATGGGTCAATGGGAAATTCTTATCAAAGAAAGATGGTTTTTCCTTTTCAATGACGGCTTCTTTCTCCTTTTCTTTCACAATTATTTTAGCCTCTGGTTCAACTGCTCCTTTCTGCTTCTCCGCTTGTTCCTTGTCTTCCACACGATCAAGAATTGGATTTGCAAGCGGTGCTACAACTTTGCCACTTCTAGTGGTAATAGCCATGCAATCTTCCTTTGGATTGATAACTGTATTACTAGGAAAAGTACCCGGAATTCTTTCTGAAACCTGCTTTGCAAGTTGGCCTATCTGATTCTCCAAGTTCTTTAGGGAAGCACTTGTATTTTTGTTGTTGGCTCTTTGCTCCTCTATGAAAGCATTTGAATGTTGAGCCATCTGTGCCACTAGCTTTTCCAATTCAGAGGGTTCCTTTGCTTGAATTTGTGGAGGCTGCTGGTAGTTATTAGATTTGTAATCCATGCCAGCTCCTTGAGTTCTTCGCTGAAAATTTCCATCACCACCTCCAGCACCATAGTTATTGTTCCTTGGAAAGTTTGACGGCTGAGGCCGCTGGTCATACCATATTCCATTCACCTGTACTTGTTGAGGTGAATCATCTGATAACGAATTAGAGCATTCGTTGGATTTGTGAGCTTCCTGAGGAGTTGATTGAATATGAGACACTTGGAATTTTTGAAATTGCTGCTCCAAACTGTCAAACTTACTATCAATCTTTTTGGATAACAGTTCAGCGAGCAAAGTGTCATTGTTTTCTTGCTTTATCACTCCTCTTTTTACTGAGGTTGGAACACTCTCATTTTCATCTCTTGCCAATTTCTTTATCAGATTGAGAGCTTGCTCTGAGGTACTCTGCCGAATAGAACCTCCAGCTGCACCATTAATCACCAACCTTGTTTCAGGAGAAATGCCATTAAAGAAAATTGCTACCTTTCTGTCATTGTCTCCTTCCCATTGTGGACACTTCCGGATAAGTTCTTGGAATCTATTCCAAGTTGCACACAATGATTCTCCTTCAAATTAACGGAAATTCGTGATTGCATTCACTAGCTGATTATATTTCTCCATAGAAAAGAAATGGGCAAAGAATTTGTTTGACAAATCTTCCCATGTTGAGATACTATTTGCTGGTTGCCTTTCTATCCATTTGAGAGCACTTCCCTTAACAGCAAAAAGAAATAGTCGGAGCCTGATAGCATCAGCTGGCACACCATTGTGCTTTGTAGTGTCACAGATCATCAGAAATCGATCTATGAACTCATGTGGGTCTTCCTCGTCAGCACCAGAATATTGAGCTCTTGCCACCAAAGAAATCAATGATGGTTTCAACTCAAAATTGTTTGCTTCCACCGTTGGCCTGACTATGCTTGAGTTTGGCCTATTGAACACCGGTGTTAGAATACTTTCCAACAATCTTGGGGGTGGATTGTGGCCTATGCCACCATCATCGTTGTTGTCTCCTTCCATCTCTTGTTTTGGTTGTGCAGGTACGCTTTTCAAATCTTCCCAAATTATCTGCCTAGCCGCCTTCCTCAGTCTCCTCTCAGTCCTTGAATTTCAGGATCAAGCAAAAAGTCTTTAGATGGAAGTCTACCTCGCATAAAACTCAAAAAAATTTGTTAATAGCACCTGTAAAATGCAAACAAGAATAATAAAATAAAATAAAATAAAATTCAATCTCAAAGATCAAAGATTATTTATAATATTGAAATTTTCAATCCCCGGCAACGACGCCAAAAACTTGATGCTATCCGGCAAGTATACCATTTCGCATAAGTAGTAAAGTAGTAAGAAAGATCGTCTCCTCAGGGATTGAAAACCAAGTACTAAAATAATCAGTCACTTTAAGTTGAAAAACTTAATCTCTTGTTGGGAAAATTAAATTGAATCTTAGTAACCATAAAAGTAAAAGCTTATTTTTGAGTTTTTGTATTTTTAAGAATGAAAAGAAGAATAATAATAATGGAGTTGGTTTTGAAAATATGAGAAAGAATTGCAGTTAGGGAACACTCTCCCTATGATCCCCACTTATTACTTTGGATTGATACAAAATACTTATTTATATAATTTCTCAGATAATTATGATCTCAATATATTAATAGTTAAATCCCAATCCCTTGGTAACTTAACCCTTTAACCTCACTTAGAATCCTAATCCCTTAGTAACCCCTCATGAGAATTAAACAATGAACACAGTAATTCCAACATCTGCAATTAAATATACATCTATCCCTAGTATGCATACCAATAGTTATCTTATCTCCTTTCGAGATCAGAAACCCCAATATCCCTATTTAAGGTTCTAACCCTCCAACTATTTTCAACTATCAAATTGATCAGGTTTAATAAAGAAAATATCAAATACGCACAAGATAAGATAAAGAAATTTATATAAACGAGTAAAATAATTTAAATCAATCCGTCATAACAAGGGTTCACATAGGGTTTGTGACCCTAACTACAATAAAAGAACTTAGCCAGACATAATCATATCTGACATAAACAAATATTCAAAAGAAAGCATAAAAACTATAATTACTGGAAAGAATATAGAAGAAATCTTGATCTTCAATCCTCTACTGCTTGCTCCGAGTATTGAATTGGTTGCCTTTGTTGTGCTTCCAAGCTCCTTATTTATAACCACCGGCATTGAGCCCATCCAAGAGTTTGTATTTGATTTAAACTTTGTTTCCTTTTTTCATGTAACAACCTTGGAGATTTGATTGATAAATTAGAATTTCAAATCTTTATTGTATCTTGATTCAATCTTATCACAAATCATCTAATCTTATCTCTAATTTGGATAGAGATCTCATTGCTGAATCAAAAACTTGATTTTTAAATCTTTTTCTTTTCCAAAATTGCCCCGTTGCAAAACACGGGATCTGAGAATTCGCAAACTGACGCTCTCAGCGTCAAATTCACGCTTCAAGCGTGAACGCTTCTGTCTGAAAAATTCCTTCCACGCTTCCAGCGTGAGATCCACGCTTTGAGCGTGGATTTTGATTTTGCAAAGTCCTCGTTTTTCTCAAAAACTTGTTTGCTTTTTCCTACAAAATTAGCATAAAATCAGTATTCAATCCTTGATTAAGATTTTGACAAATTAACAGTGATTCTTGCTCTTTTTCTCAAGATTTCATCAACATTCTTTCTCTTTTTGGCTCAGATTTCCTTAAATGCTAGGCGCATATCAGTTTCAATATAGCATTTATCACTTCCTCCTCTCGCCAAAACATGTTGAGGAATTTACTCGTACGAACCAAAGAACGCTGCTAGTAATTTGCACCGGTGGTTTCTTGTTTTGATTCTTCATTTGACAAGTCTCTAGTCTCTTCCTCATCGCTGCAAGGGTGCCAAGTCCCTGCAACTTTTTCTAATATACATATCCTTGATATTAGACCTTGTCCTACCGTTAAGAGCAATGATATGAACCCCAATAACATAAGCTCTGCATATAACAACATAGTAAAACATATATCCAACTTAACACTTTTCATATATCATTAAGCTTTCTCGATTTGAGAGTTCAACAAAGTAATGTATAATGAATTATGAGCGGGTCAAACTCGAACCTGATTTGACCTTTTCAAGTGACTCATACAGAGCTTTTTTGTGCTTCTTCTTCAACCACTGCTCGCATACACATTCTATATTGCACTCTTTCACGTGATTAATAAATTAGAGCCTAAGTAGATTATAAATTAGAACTACTAAGTAAATAATGGTACTTATACCTTTCCAATGAGATGGATGATGTGCTCGATGATTATAGAGTTTAAGATCAAAACAAAACAAACGACGACGACGACCTTTGTAAGTGTTTCCTCTAAGTTTCTTCCTCACTTCCTCCTGCCATGGCTGCTTCTTTGTTTTAATCGTTTGTAATAAATGGATGAAGGATGATGGATGTGAGCATAGGAAAAGCGGTGTTATATGAACAGAGAAATTCTATTCAAATTTTAGAAACTCGTGTTATATAGTATATCAGAAATTATACATGAATAGAAAAATTCTGGGGGCAGCCCATCCTAGGTCCCCTGAGAGCAACGATGGTGAAAAAGGTATATATAAACTTGCAAAAATGAGGGATAAGAAAAGTAAAGACTTCACCCAAGTTAGATGTATCAAGGGTGAAAATCAAAAACTTTTGGTAAGAGATAAAGATGTAAATGAAAGATAGATGAACTACTTTAACAAGCTTTTTAATGGGGATGAATATAAAAGCAAGGTGGACTTTGAGGATGCTTATGATGATTTGGATAGAAGATTTGTGTGCATAATTAATACTCATGAAGTTAAAGTGGCTTTAAAGAGAATGAAGACTAATAAAGCTTTGGAACCCGATGGTGTCCGTATTGAAGTATGCAGAGGCCTAAGGGATGTGGCAATAAAATGGTTGACCAATCTTTTCAATAAGATTCTTTAGAAAAACAAGATGTTTGATGCATAGAGGAAAAATATGCTTGTACCTATTTACAAAAACAAGGAAGATATTAAGAGTTGTTTTAACTATAGAGGCATTAAGCTAATGAGGTATACTATGAAGTTGTGGGAGAGAGTTATTGAACATTGCTTGAGGAGAGAGACCAAGGTTTCTGTAAATCAATTTGGATTTATGCTAGGACGATGTACCATGAAAGCCATTTTCTTGATGCATTAATTAATGGAAAAATATCAAGAAAAGAAAAAGGACTTATATATGATGTTCATAGATCTTGAGAAAACATACGATTGAGTCCCAAGAAAAGTTTTATGGTGGGTTCTCGAGAAAAAAAGAGTACCATTGAAGTATATAGATGAAATCAAGGATATGTATAATGGGGCTACTATATGTGTGAAAGGTTGTAATGGAACTTAAGTTATTTTTCTATCACAGTAGGTGTACACCAAGGTTCGGCTCTAAGTTCTTATCTCTTTGCTTAGTTATGGAAGAATTAACAAAAGATATTCAAGAGGAAGTGCCATAATATATGCTTTTTGCATATGATATTGTGCTTATTGATGAGACCAAAGATAGTGTCACCAACTACCATTGAATTATGGATAAGCATGTTGGAGTCTAAAGGATTCACGTTAAGCTAGAGCAAGACTGAGTATGAAGTGTGACTCTTCTCTGGTAGGAGATGTCGTTCAAGATCCTGTGCATCTACTTGATCAAGAGGTACTTAAGAAAGATGCTTTTAGATACCTGGAATCCATTTTGCAAATAGGTGGAGAGATTGATGAGGATGTAAATCATAGAATCAAAGCAGGGTGGAAGAAACAGTGTAGTGCATCTGGATTTTTATGTGACCACAAAATTCCCCTTAAGCAAAAAGTAATTTTTTATAGAATGCAATATTATATGGAGCTGAATGTTGGCTAGGACATAGGCAACATGAGCATAAAATGAAAGTAGCAGAAACGAGGATGTTAAGGTGGATATATGTTTATACAAGGATGAATAAAATGAGAAATGAAGATATTTGACGAAAGGTAGGAATAGTCTCGGTGGCTGAAAAGATGAGAGAACATAGATTGAGGTGGTTTGAACACGTAATGAGAAGGTCCCTGGATGTTCCCGTAAGAACGAAAATCTGTTACCAAGAGCTTGACATAAAGATAGATAGAGGTAGACCGAAACTTACTTGGAAAAAAGTAGTAAAAAAAGACTTGATGGAGTGTGATATATATTGACGGAAGGTGTGTCTTAGGACAAAATGAAGAAAAACTATAAGAATGGTGGATAATTAGGGTGTGCATGACAACCTTCCCGGAATCAATTCTTTTTTAATTTCTGTTCCCGGGAACAGAAATGAATAGAAAACTCGTTTGGTAAAACCGGTTTATTTTTTTGTTCTCGGGACGAACCAGTTTATTTTTTGTGCTGTGGAACAGAAAAAAGAATTAATTTTTTTTTTGTTCCCGGGCACAAAATGAGAAACACTTATCTCTCTCAATCAATCTCCATCTCTACCATCATCACCACCACCACCATCATCCCGACACGACCACCGCCACCATCGCCGCCGCCGCTGTCGTACCACTAGTGTCGTCGTCACCACCCCCACAACCATGATGCCACTGCCACCACCTCCACCCATTACTACCACCATGCCACTGTCACCACCACCACAACCACAACTACCACCGCCGCCACCACCACCACCACTATCACCGTCACCACCCCCACTACCGCTATCAACCACTGCTGTCACCGCCAGCGCCAGCATCGCCATCACCACGCCACTGCTGCCACTGCCACCACCACGACGCCACCACTACCATCACCACCACTGTCACCAACTACCATTGAATTATGGATAAGCATGTTGGAGTCTAAAGGATTCACGTTAAGCTAGAGCAAGACTGAGTATGAAGTGTGACTCTTCTCTGGTAGGAGACGTAGATCAAGATCCTGTGCATCTACTTGATCAAGTGGTACTTAAGAAAGATGCTTTTAGATACCTGGAATCCATTTTGCAAAT